TAAACCACTTGCACATCCACGCACAATAAAATATTTCTCCATTTTTTAATGTTTCTTTTTGTCAAAAATTACAAAATTACGAAGCATGAAAATATTTTACGAAACAATGAAATGAAAATTTGTACATTATTCAACTAACTTCACCTACTTGTACTCATAAACAGCTAACTTCGCAGTCGCTACTCACCGACGTCAGCGCCGCTATGTATTCTACAATTTTCAAGGACAGGCGGGCTATGCTTTAGTACGTAGTGATCGTTCTCCTGTTCTCTAACTTTCATGCTAATAACTCACTATTTAAATTGAAATGAATGCTACACGAACATAATACTGGTTATTTCTTTACTAAAAATCTCTATAAACTTCAACATATTATAATATTTATTTACAGTATCTAGGCATTTAAAAAGTACTCTGTCTGTACTTACAGCTCACAGTATGTATGTTATTGATAATAAATAAAGTAAATTCACAAGTTCACAGTTTAAACAGGTACACAGTTATAATGTTATATTGTAGTATGTTAATAGTCTTTGTTCACAGCACAAATTAAGTTAGACCAACGTTCCACAGGTAAGATTAGAATTAGAGTTTTAGAACTGAAAATGAAATGGCAACTTTTCGATATTGTTGGATGCGTTTATAAATATTTATTTTATTCAAATATATATTGTGTTCAAATTAGCTGTTCAAATTATTAATTCAGCATATTACGCATACACATCTTCGTGGCTGTCATACGGTGACATGTTGTGAGGAAATAGTAAAGATGCACAGCAATTATTTATAATGCAAAAAAAAATTATAAGAATCTTGACAAACATAAAAATTCCAGAAAGTTGTAAGCCCCACTTCAAAAAGTTTAAAATTTTGACGTTGACGTCTATTTATATTTGAGGAACATGCAAATTTGTAAAAAAAAAACCACCCAGAACTATTTACCAAATTAAGTGAAACAAATTACAAATACTCAATTAGACCAAATAAGAATAGGCTACTATTACCGAAATATACTCTTGCTTTGCATAGCTCTAGTCCCTACTGTATGGCAGTTAAAATTTTTAATAAACTACCAAATGACATAAAAAATTTAACGAGTACTACATTATTTTTATCCAAATTAAAGTTATATTTAATTGAAAAATTTTTCTATAATTTAATTGAATATTTTGATACAAATATTATTTAATTTATGTTGACAACTTCGGCCTGTGCCTATCTAATTTAATTTAAATTTTTTTATTCGATTATTATTTTTACTTAATTTTATTTTTATTTATAATTTTTTTTTTCACTTGACATTGTGACATTAATTTAATTAAATTTACAGAATTTTAAATTAATATAATCTAATAATGTAATTTATTAAAGAAATCTAATATGTATAGTTGTAGTAGTGTAGTTTAAAAATAATATCTGAGGGCACGGCAGTGCCCCCGCCAAGTCAAGCAAAAAAGCGGCACGGCCGTACCATTTTTTCTCGAAGCAATTCAGGCCATTTTCGACCCCTTATAACTTCGTAGTCAATAAAACTAGATGCTTGATTTTTCAGTAACCGAGTAAGCAGTTGTATAAACATGGTATATTACAAATTTCATTCAATTTGAACGAGTAGTTTAAGAATTGTAACCAGTCAAAGTTTCTTAATTTTGTCACTCACTGACTGACCGATTATCAAAACTCTAAGGCACTTCTAGCAGACATAAAAGCTTCAAATTTAGAATACAATTAGTGTTTAGTGTATAAATCAAGGAAAAACTAAAACATTTGTTAATTTCTGTCCAGTTTTTTTAGATACACTAACTGCATAAATAACTTTGTAATCCTATATAAATATATAGAATTACAAAGTTACATTTGCAGTGAATGAATCAGTGTATTTGTATATGTATTACAGGTGTATAGGTACGTTGTTGGTACTCAAGAAGTAGAAGGTACCGGAAAGGTAAAAAACTAGGACTATCTTATATACAAAAAGAAATGAGATACCATTAAAAACATAACTTATAAAAAAAAACCAAGTCTCGCAACTCAGTTCTTCTACCGTAAAAAGTTGTGAGATCCATGTAATACCAAGTCGGTTAATTTATTCAGTTCCTACTTAAGGGTCCTTCTGTTTTAAGTTAGTACGTAATTAGCTAACCTAACAACATTTTATAGTGACCATATCAATTTTAAAAGTCTTTTATGTTTTAAATACATAGATTGACTTGGCAATCGCATTAAGCAATCTAAGTTAATATAATACGTATTACTTGTGAGATACATTGTAGTTTCATGCGATGGCCCAGTCAATCTATATATTTAAAACATAAAAGACTTTTAAAATTGATATGGTCACTATAAAATGTTGTTAGGTTAGCTAATTAAGTAATAACTTAAAACAGAAGAACCCTTAAGTAGGAACTGAATAAATTAAGCGACTTGGTATTACCTGGATCTTACAACATTTTACGGTAGAAGAACTGAGTTGCGAGACTTGTTTTTTTTTACAAGTTATGTTTTTAATGGTATTTAATATTTTTATAATAGCTACGCCCAAACTGGGTTCAAATGGGGTCTTTTTAAAAAAAGACAGAACATCTATTGTTACCATTTGATTTCAGTAAAGATTATGATTATGATTATGAAAAATTATCAACCAAGTACGACCGTTTGTTTTTGTGTCCCCCAATAGCAAAAAATTAAAAACTGCGGTATCTTACCCCATCCAGTTTGGGAATTTTATCGCTAGTTCTTGAATCAGATGAATCAGTACGATTCGAGAGGTTTTTGGATCGATTCAGTGAATCGATGCGGTGCTCCGAATCGGACTCAAAAATCGATTATTTTACTCCAAAGAATCGATTTTGCGATTAATCGATTTTAGATCGACATGCCTACTAAGCTACCATGCCCTGTAGTGTTTTGTCTCATTCTAACATTTGTGAGACACTTTTTGCTAGAAAGTGACAAAACACTTAAAAATATTTGTGATTAAGGGGGTAGAGTTTAAACTTTTTTTTTGATTTTGAATTTAAATTTTATTGGCATTTGTGTAGTACGACTGGTCAACAACGGCAGGTTTTGCAGCTTTAAAGGATATCACATATATCGAAGATACCACATATTTCGAAGAGGACGTACGACGAGATTCTTCAGTTTTCTGGTAAAGAATTAAAATTTTAATTGATTTAATTTTTCATATTCTTTTGAACAGGTTAAGTTTAGAGTTGTCTACCACGTGGTTGGACTTCTCAGGGTGGGAGTACATCTGGGTAGATTACAACAAACTCAACACAATATAAACCACACTCTTTTATATTTCTGCCACCAAATAGCAGTGTGTGCACTGCTGTATTCCGGCCTGAAGCGTACAGAGAGATGCATTACATGCCAGCATAATTACAGGGTGTGGCCTATTCAATCTTAGGTCCTCAGAGGTGATAATGCATTCAGTAGCCTTTACATATTAGAGTAGCCATTTACCATCAGGCAGAGTGTTTGTTTTTTTAACTAGTTTTATTAAAAAATTTGAAAATATTACAATATGTTTATCTTATTAAACAGATATTTTAGTATTTGCTGCGGTTATGTTAAAATAAAACATAGGACATACAAAGTAATTAGATTATTGTTACTTTTATGCTTACAAACTAATATACAACTTATTATTAAAGAAAAATGTCCATTATTTAGGCCACTATTCTACCTAATTAGAAAGTTACTCTTGGGTTGGGTCATTATCATAGAAGTCAAGTTATCTTGTTAGAAGTCAAGTTATCTTGTGCAGAATTATTAGTCTTCAGGTTGTGATAGAACTCATGTTGAATTGTAGTGATATATGGCAAGAGCTGTAATAGATCTTCATATTTTTTTTTGTTAGTGGGGCATCCATTGGGATACAAAATATCCAGATCTATTTCATTCAAGGAGGAAGAAAAACAAGTCCTTTTTCTTTCAATATCAACACAGTCAAACAGTTGAATAACCATTGAATTTTTAGCCATTCAACTTTGGTTCTTTGACTTTTGTTTGTATCATCATCTACTTTTCTCCTAGTTTCTTCAATTTTTCAGTGCTTTTTAAGTCTCCCGTCATCATCTTCACAATCAAAAATTTTGGATTCTTTTTCTTGGCATTTGAAATAACATAATTGTAGTCTTCAGAAACATAAATCTCCTATGTTTCTTCTCCTCCACCAAACCAAAATCACGGTCACATGGTAGGTAGCTATGATCGGATACAAAAAATTTGTGATCTATTTTTTTACTGTGAACTTATTTGAACTCACTATGTAATTGCAAATAGCTGATGGTTTAATATTTCTGTTTTGGCCTCCACATAGGTCGCTGTACATTATCAAATTCATAGTACTTAGTGATATATTTCTTCATAAAGTGTAATAAACATGAGTCAATTTCACATGGTCCCCGGGAAGCCAAGCCTTCATGCCATACATACATAATACATATACACTTGGTTTGTTGTCAAATTGTGAATACCAAGGCAGTATGTCCACAATTGCCGCTTGTAGTATGCTAGACCAAAGGATATGAATGGAGTACGAAGAGTTTTCATCAAGTCAAATGCAACGACACTGGTATCATTTTCAAATTTTTACAGTTTCCAAGTGCATATAAGTCATCAAAAATCTTTCTTCTACCTTTCGTCAACAGTTTACTGTGACACTTATGAACACATGTACAGTCTTCACTATTGAGTCTTTGCTGGTACAAAATTTTCTTTGACATTTATGTATGCCTGCCCAAAAGCCCTGATCTCCTTTTCCCAGTTAGATACGTTCCTTTTTCTTTTACGGCTCTTGCATACACTGTCGTCTGCGACAACTAGAAAGAAGGAAACTCAAAATGAGTACAATAATAAGGTTGATATTTATTTTACGGAGATGCTTCTACGGAGCTTGTGGAACGTACCTTGTCTTGTTGGAATTCCATCAGTAGCTTCCTTAGTAGAAAATCATCAGAACTTTCTGGAACTACAAGGATTTTCCGAGAACGATGCTTATACCATTTAAGCTGGTTTTCACCATTAAAGCTGGTTGGTTAAAATATGATTTACTATAAAAGTACCTATATTACTGCTACTCGTGTATACATTCAGTTACCACCAGCTATTAAACAATTAAATGGAAATATGTTCAAAACAAATTTAAGAAATTGTTAATTGAAATTGTTTTTTTACAATCTCAAAGAGTTTTTTTAATAAAATTAATGTTAGTAAGTAGTAAATTTTAAATTTATTTTCTTAATTGTTTTATATCCGACATGGGTAGACTATAGAACGTAAAACTATATGTATTTGTGCTAAGAGCACATTGTACACAGTTATGCAATAAATGTATCTTTATCTTTGTCTTTGTATATACCTTTGTATTACTTTAGTTATTTCCATAGCATTATGTCGTATGGTATTTTGCTATGGGGACACGCGACTGCCACTGAAATTATATTTATTTTACAGAAGAGGGCCATTAGAGCAATATATAATTTAAAACCAAAAGAGTCACTGAGACAAAAATTTAAGGAAATTAATATATTAACTTTGTCCTTTCAATACATTTATGAAAATGTAATGTACGTACACAAAAATAAAAGTTGTTTTGCGAAAATAAGTGATATTCATTCTGTAAATACTAGGAACAGACGCAAGCTAGTAGTACCAGTTACTCGACTCCACCGAGTCAGTAATTCATTCTTGGGGCAATGTATACGCTTTTACATAAAAGAAAAAAAATTAAATAAATTTTACACAATTTTGTATAAAAAGGGTTATTATAATATTAAGGAATTTATGGATGATAATAACCCTGGGAAGGGTGATCGCTACCAATCTATTTCTAATTTGTCTTGTGTTGTTAATTGTAAACATGATTGTAAGCTATTATTGGAAAAAAAATAGTCCCGCTGGGTTTCTTGCTGGTTCTTCCCAGGACAGAGGTTTTTTTTGCGGACCAGTGGTAAATGAAAAAAGTGACTTTCAATAAGTATTGTTATAATCTACATTGAATAACTTGGGAAGCAGCAGATGCAAAGGTAAAACCTTTTGTTAGCATCATAAACCGAGCAGAGTAAAAGTCTAAACTCATAACTACTATCTTTATTTCAACAAAAGATTCAATTAAATGGTGTGACATTGCACAGATGTAAGTTAGCGAATTGATTAGATAGTAAAAAAAAACTTCAAATTCAGATTTTTATTTTTTACAAACTTTTTAAAAAGATTTTTATTTTGTCTGCGTTGAGCTACAAATATTAAAAAATTATGTAAATTGGCCTACAAGTTACGGAGGAGATAGATTTCAAAGAATCGTTTTCCTGCGCCATGGGAGTTTCGCTCCAATTAAATAAAAAAATTATATAATATCAGCTGAGCGTTGCTATTATACTAATATTGTTTTTTTCTGCAGCAGGCAGTGCGGCGCGCGTTCTGGACACTGGAGGAAAAATGCAACAACAAGATTGTAAAATGTGCAAAAATTGTAAAGCTATGAGTACCAGGTTGGATATTTGCCTCTTCCTTATTAGTTACTTTATATTTTAATTATCAATCATAAGGAGTTCATTTCCCGCGTCACAGACTGTTTTCAACTTAACGCAGTTCATAGTCAAAGACATCAAACCCAATTGTAGATTTATTAATCCGAATGTAGTTCGCTGAGCGTGTGTACCTCTAGTCTCATTTTATGTACTTTGTAAAACTGTTTTCCTTTTAATTTGAAAGTTTGGTTGTGGCGCTGCAGACTCCGAATTCCCCCACTGAACAAGTGTTTGCGTAGCCTACAAATATAATTACTTCGGTTCTGGCTACTTATCGAATCTATTAATAAAACACCTCCACGATACAACATAGACATTGGGTATAGGTAAAACGTTTTTATATAAATTTAAAAATAATCAACATTAGAATAATACGACTTCCACAAAATCGGGACAAGTCGTCGCATCGTGTTATCTGGAATTACAATAATCCTGGCTTAGAACTATCAGAGTTGGAAATTGACATTCTGTCTGTCTGCGCACAATTTTTGCTTTTAGCGTTTTCATCTTGTCCAAAGTCTCACACGCGAAAACTTAGCAAGTGCATTTAAATTTGGCAAAATTAAAATAAGGTGTAGTTTTAATCATTAAAAATGTTAAATTCGTTGAAAGCCGTCACAGCTGTTTTCAGTGAATAAAGGCATTTCTGTGTCCATTTGTTATTTCACTATGGATATTTACCTGTGCCAAAAACTTAAAGTAACGTAATGTGACCCCTAGCATTTTGAATAATATTACTTCACCGTTACCACGTTTAATTTAAACAACTAAGTTTCTCGTAATGTTCAATTTATTTTTGTGTAGTAAGGTTAACAAGCTAGTACATCGTCCACCTGATTGTAAGTGGATGCTATGGCCATAGACAACATCCTTACTAAAATGGAATTTATTATTACCAGTAATAAGGTTTACGGTCCTCGTCACTCACCATACGAAACACTGCAGTATTATGCTGTTATTTCACACTGGTATTTAATGCAATCGTGGTTCTACTCTGGTCGGGGCGATCTATTCTTGTGGTGACAAACGAGCATACAGTTCATCTGATGGTAAGTGGATGCTGTGACCCATAGATATCATTCCTCCATACATCATTCCATACATCAATCCTCGATTGAGTATCAAAATGCAGAAGCATTGTCACCCCTGAGGACTAAGATGGAATGCCCCGATTCCAATAAAAAGGGTCTCCGGTACTCTACAGCAGTATTAAGCTGCTATTTTGTAATATATATAATTCTTAATTTTAAAAGTATTGTCAGGGTTGTATTTGCTTACAGTTGAAATTACAAACTACACATTGTTTTTACCTTTAATAATTATTGACAACTCTATCTAACATAATTAATCGCGGCAATTCTTATATGAAACATTGATTTAAAGAAGAATTCTTATTCCATTTCCCATATTTTTTTTTGGTGTGGTTATTTTACATAGGTTACAAACATGACTACTTTATGTGCATGCTTCGTTGTATTGCTTTTCAGATTGAAATATTACCGGGCTAGACTCGAATATCTTATACATTTGAGTGCTGAACTTTCTGAACTGGCTGGTGAATTGGACGAAAAGATCGAAGGAGTCATGTCTGCTATGACCGCAATGTTAAAAGCAAAGGTAAAATACTGTATGTTCTATGTTAAAATAATTTACTAACTAATTAGGAATGTATTGCAACAACAGCTGCCAACCCGCCAGATAAGCGTGGCAACTATGGCAATATCTCCCATATAAGGCTGTCTTTTTGTGAGGTCTATGCTGTGCTGGATTTTTGACTTGCAGCAATGAAAATGAATTCTTCGGAGTTTGCTGTAAAAAGTTAAAAAGCATATTACAACTCGACCACAAGGGACGTGCCTCACGTCATTGACATTCCGTCGAATTTCGTGGTCGTTAATTTTGTTTTAAAGAGAATATAATCACTGTGCTTTAAGAGACAGGAATACCGCCTAACCTTCCTTTCAAGCACTTTCTTTTCTTCCTTTTTACCAGCAGTGGACTTGACCCAGGGTTTTAATGATGTATGATGGTGACGATATGCTAGTAATATTTATATTTAGATTTTTTCATAAATTCTTCGTAAACTAACTTACATTTTTATTTTTAAGGCTCCTAGAAACATTTCAAGCGGTGGCGACGGACAAGGTAATTAATAAATGAAGTTTATAAATTATTATTATTATTGGGGTATATATATATATATATATATATATATATATATATATATTATATATATATATATATATTTAAGTTTTCTCATCTGGTTGGGTTCCATAAATATATAATTGTAAAAGAAAATGATAAATATACATAAATATCAATAAAATAAAATAAATACATAAAAATACATAAATAAATAAAAGCCCAACTAGCAACAAGCTCGACAGATGGCAACGGTGCCATGCTTTAGGATATATCTCCGATAGTTGTTGGTCTTAATAACCTGATCCTGTTATGCACAGACAAAACCCTCGGTTTCCCTAAAGAGGTCACAAAAGCGTAGCCAGTGGAGGGAGGCTACAGTGTCTAAGAAAGGCTCATGCTCATGAAGAGCTCTGTGGAACCTCCCGTGAATCTCCTTCTCCTTCCAGACGGTCTCTCGGTCGGCAATGCTATGTACTGCCGGGTTCTGCCATGCTTGTTGGCTAATGATAGGTGGTAAGTCCTTTATCACAAAAAATGATGTCCCTATATAATGGATCATCCGATCTCGCCAGGAAGTAACGTTACGGAGGCTGCACACTTCGCCATCATGCATGGAGAGCGTGCTTAAAAAGCCATGCCAACCATGCTTACGCGGCAAGTACAGCCTCATTACCGACGATCTCGGATGATGCACTCTATGGGACGTCATGGTAGTGCGGACTTTTCTATCCAGGGTATTAAGTTCAGTCTGAGACCACCTGAATATGCCAAAGGTATAAGGTGTGCCGGACAGGCACGACCCAACCGTTATATGCGTGTGTCTTATTCACACCGAACAAAAGGCTGTTAAGCACTTTGGTCAAGCGTGCATAAAACACATCGCTAACTGACTGTTTCATACAAGCCTCTTTGATACCGATGTTCTGTGACATACCCAGCTATCGGTATGTTTCAGCCTCGGAAAGGGTCTTTAAGTTGACGGGCATAGTTAAATCTATGCCCTCAGAGTTAGCAACCCTTTCTCTTTCAACATGGAGGACCGCACACTTATCCGTTCCCTGCTCCATTCTAATAGAGTTGCTAAAATCACAAGTGATGTGTGGCAATTCCACAACATGGGAGCGATTGGAGGCCAATAACTTGAGGTCATCCATATAGAAAATGTAGGTCACTTTTATATCTCCTTTCCGAAGCTGAAATCACCTCCCGGAGCCCTCCATTAAAGTACTGCGAAGGTTCAAAAAGAGGCAGAACCAGATTGATTGGACTCAGACAGTCGCCCTGGAAGATACCCCTTCTTATCCCTATGCGGCTTTCCGCAGCCGCCTTCCGCTTACCCAGATGACAAAGGATCGTACTCCACTACCCTATACACTGCTCGAGGAAATCCCTAACTGTACAGTCAATAGTGATGCATCCCGTCGAGCCCCGGACTTTTCCAGTTCGGAGCCCTACGGACCGCCTCAGCTACGTCATCCGTTGTTACAATGACGTGGTCCATAGACGTAATAGTCGCATACTGACTCGACACAACTTCCGTCCAAGGGCTCTCGTTGTGATTTACAGGCTCTGTCCACAGGCCGCGCCAGGCGACAGTGTCGGCCAGATTTGGTGCTGGGCCCGTTCCACTTACCACTGGTCGCTCCAATGATTCATAGAGCCTCTTCTGATCACTCTGGAAGAGACGATTCTGGTTGAACTATGTCGACTTGTCTAGTATATCACCAAATCCGCTTTCCCCAAGCAGCGATTCACTGCTTCAGATCATCTACGCGCTCCGTCAGTTTTTGCGTTATATCCGGCTGGGACAAATGTAAGTTTGTAAGTCAGCAAACGCCATCCTGACGGTGCGCTCAATCCTTGGCCTGTTATTGCTTGACCTGAAGCATATCAGTCTGCCGATGAGAGCCCTAGCCTTTGCGATACGTTCATCAATTCTTATTCTCCAGGTTGGGATAGTGCTACTTTGCCTAGTAGCGCATCCAGCCGTGGAAAGTTTGGCGCCTATAATACGGAAGACTGCCAGTGCAGGGCCAAAAAGAATTGAGTCCGTCTCGCAAAGATCCCGGCTGGCTTCCAAGTAGGTCACCAATATTGGGTACAGAGCCCTCACGACAGCCTGATTCCGCTTGATTTTCGAGAGGCGTACTGCGCGTTTCCACAATCGCCTCTTCTAATGTACTCCTCATTTGCTCTAGTTCTAGTTCCTGGGCGACTGTTCCATCATCGTTTGAATCAACTACAACTTGGGTATTTACGGCGGCATCCACGTGTGCGGGTTGCTCTGCAACTTGTGGCACCGCATCCTCAGCCTTAGCATTATCATATGATTAGGGAACAACCTCACGTCGTAGCCGTTCGAGTTCGGCGCCATCAAATATATTTGAGCGCAAGATATACCTAACTCGGTCCGCCGGGTTTTGCTCTGTAACGGTTAAAGATGGCTCCAGCTCAGCAAAAAGACGATGCATCCTAGTCTGATACGCAGACATTCAACTTCTCCCCCTTTCGCCCAAAAATACGCCCACAATGCGTTGGTATTCATTTTGATTGTCCATCGCACGCGGCGTACTCCACCAGCGGTGAAGACCCTGCCGACACCCAGCAAACTGGTGGGGATGATGGATGCGAGGGGCTGCTGGGTGGTCGTGGAGTATCTCGCGCTCGGCTGGCGGTTAGCTTACTGTCGCGTCCGTCACCAGCTCCAGACGCGCCCTGGTGACCTCCAGGCAGCGGTCCTTTGCGCGTTCTATTACATTCCATCATCCATTTTCATTTTCTGTTACGTTCCATCATTATTTTTATTTATTTATTTATTACGTACAAAATGACATACAAATTTATTTATTAATAACTCTTTATTAATAAATCACACCACATTCATATTGTACATCTTTGGTTTTATACCTATAAATTCTAATAGATATTTAAAAGATAAATTCACAGTTTTTTTTAAATTAAAGTTTAACTGAGTCCAACGAAAATCCATTTTGTCCATAGCATATGGAGAAAATGACATACACTACAAAATTAATAACATTAACGATAAAGCTCGCAAATGAATCGCTTTGTTCGTTTAGAGACGTTCGCGCAAGAAGCGTGGGTCCACTGCGAAACACTTAAACACCGCAACCAGTCTTCTCCAGGTCTTCATCGAGAAAAAAAGATTCTTGCAATATATGCAAGAGAAATCCTCTTCGTCATCTTGAGCGTTGCCTGCCAAATTTTCTTTTTCACCGACTTCTTCGTACAAGGTTTTGGTAACGTTTCTACTCCTCTTTCCTGCAGGAGCTTTAGGTTTTTTGTTTTTTTGTTTTGACTTAATTGCATTCATGTTTGGAGGAGAAGTCAATATCAAAGAGGTTTGTTATATCTTTGGCTTACGTTTTCTTTGGCCACTAATGTAACGTCCTTTTGGGACAGGTGATATTTCCTAAATAGGCATTTCTACTAAAGTAGGTATAATGGAAGAAGGCGTTCTTTATTACCAACAGATTTTGGTTTGGAGCAGGTAAAATAAGGTCTTGACCAGTGTTTGATGTTGAATTATAGCCTTGTTCAGTAGAGTCGATTGTTCGAACTGTATCGTTTTTGTACGGTGTATTTGTAAAGTTTTATCGCTAAAGAAATTAACAGCTTTGAATAAAGGTATGCTAATGCACAATTATTTGATGTGTTGTGGCGCTATTGCTAATGCACAATTAGCTATTGCTAGTTCACAATTAGCTCATGGAGTTCTTATGGACAAAACGACATACCTATCTCATTTTGTCCGTTACCTATGTATCTCATTTTGTCCTTATAGCGTTATAAAAATCAAAATACAACAATAAATTCAAAATGAATATTACTCTCGGAAAAAGTTATTCAAATGCAACAATAAGTACCTAAGGGGTGTAATAAATGTACAAGTAAGGTAAAACTATGAAAAATATAATATTAATACAAAAAAGTCCCTGCAATCAAAAAAAAAACACTCGTAACATACACGTACCAATTTTTGTCGTCGGCTATGACACCCGAACGAAAGACAGGCGCGAGTTCACGTTTTGACAGATAGGTATGAGCTAGTAGAGTCACGTGATATAGTTGTCTAGGACGGGCTAGAATTGACAGAATTTGAAATATGATGCCTGTGTCATTTTGTCCGTTTATGTCATTTTGTACGTACTTCCCCTATATAATATGCTTAATTCTAAGACAAGTAATATAAACTAAGTGCACATTCAATAATAGGTAAACACAGCATGCTTAGTGCTCACAGCCTCACCTGCAAGTATTTACCTAATAGCTAAAAATATACAATATCAAATTTAAAAAAATATTATTCAATTAATATCTACCAAAAAAAGTTAGGTACTACAAAGAAATATTAACATTTTGATAAATTTTGTGCCGAAAAACGTTAAAAGAGTTGTGGTGAATATCTACTACATTATTATTTAAAAGTCTGCAAAGTCTGGGTATTAGGTAATTAAAACCTAGTATAGTTCTACGAGTACGAAGGGGCGGCGAAAGAGGAGTAATAAACTAACGAGGACTACTTGGGATACGAAAATTAAACCTACTTCTAAATTATTTCTGATAATTTTATATAAAAGTTGCAAATCCAGAATATACCGGCGTTTACACAGTGAGATCATTTTATATGTCCTTAATCTGTCTACAAACGATGCATTTTTATATGGTTTTCGTGTTGAAAAGGCAAGATGCCATTAAAATCTTTTCTGTATGCGCTCAAGCCGAAGGTTATGGGCAGAATAATGGGGACGCCAGACTGCTACAACATTACTATATACCTATTTCTAACAATTGAAAAGTATTGAATAAAACTATATTTACGGATTTTGTCTTATTTTATTTATTTTTAATTACCGACGTTTCGGGTGCCGGGGAACTGAATGTTTGACGTTCCGATGTCATAGTGAGTCCGGCTACCTTCAGTTTTCAAATACAATTATTTTTTTGGTCCGATCTACGCAGAACGAGCTTACACTATCTTGAAGTATTGCAGTGGTCTGCTTGGGTTTGGGCTTAATTTTGTTAATTATAGGAACCCAAGCAGATAGCAGCACCCATCCATCTTCTCTATTAAAATTAGGATGTTTTTTAATTTCAATAGCCTCGCGTATCATCCTTGGTAGGAATCGGTGTTCTTTTGCGAGGATTTGTGGTTTATCAATTGTATCGGTGGGGCCGATCTTGAACATGTTCACTGACTGCAGACTTCCCGGAGCGTCGGCGCTTCACGTCAGCTATATGTTCGTGAAAACGACTGATTAATTATCGAATGAGGTTGAAGTAAACTATTTTACGGTAGATTTTTGCTATAAATTAATTATTATAAAAACTAGAAACCTGCTAAAATCACTAAAATTGCCCAGCTTTACCGCCGTCATCATATATTGAGCAAACAAAAAAGAAACATGTAAAACATACTATTAAATATTTATAGACGTAGCCAAATTCTCATTCCGCAGTTCTCTCGCTCGGATGTCTCACTTTGAGCGTTCAGGCACAATACGAAAGCTAAAAAAATAGTATATGTCAAGAACAATATTTTTAAATATCTAGCCTACATTTGCTGTTTACATTAAAAACAATTTTAATTTAAATACTATTTTCATTTCAGGACCTGATGAAACAGATTCACAAAGTTCTGAACAATGAAATTCAGTCGGGAACGCACGAAAAACTAACAGCATGTTCAGGCAGAAACTTATGGAGACCTGAGTTGGTTTTTGTTTGGTTTTTGATGAATAATTTTCAAAATAAACAATAATAAATCGATGACTGACTATTTTTTTAATGTTTAAAATAATAATAATAATAAAATTTTTGAGTCACCATATTGAGCTGACTGACCATCACAATTTTCATTTATATTCAATATACAAGCTGTATAACAAGTTTCAGCCTTAGTAAATTCATTTTATTACCTCGGCAGGTACACCTTAGATAGCGTACCTGAGTCACTTGTTCTCGTTTATACGTAGTAGAGCCAAGTTGTAGTTGTTATATTAGTATTATAGTAGTATTAAAGTATAGTCGTAGCACAAATGAGTCGGCTCGACTGGGGAAGGACCACGCTCTCTTTTTTTTTTTGCGCCCGAAGCAATTAAAGGGCTACCCTATACGTAGGGAGGCGAAAAATGCATTAAGCATACCACGATAGCCGGTCTATCGTGGTTATGAGGGGCTCACTGTCCTACCGGGGACCCTAAGTGATACCCTCTAAAAACCGCCTTTGGGGACAGCCAGCCGGCTGATTAAGCTCTATTGTGCCTTATCATGAGCGACCCCCTTTTGGGAAAAGAGGGTGCAGGCGGCTAAGAGCCGCTGAGGGAGTGCCTACGAAAGCAAATTAATGTTAGTTAATGCAATAATTTAATTTAATTAGAGTTGGCCTGAGCCGCCAGGAGACAGTTCAGGTCGTTTGACAGTTTATTAGGCGGGTCCGAGAGAGAGTTTCTCGGCCTGCGGACACGATAGCGAGAGGGGGGGTGGGGCTGCATAAGAAGCTGCCTCACGAATTAAATGGTTTGGGTGCGACTCTGAGGCTTTGAAGAAGTTCTCAGAGAGTTTTTTAAAAAATTGTTGAATTGTTGGGAGCTCTAAGTCCCGATGAAGGTCGGCATTACGGACGTACCAAGGTGCGTTCGCAGCTCGACGACAGAAGAGGTTCTGAACTATTTGGAGTTCATTTAAAATATTAGGGTTTGCGTGGGCAAAGACGGGGCCCGCGTAGGACATGACTGGTCGTATACAGACCTTGTAAAGGGTACGCTTATTTCGAAGGGACATTTTACTGTGTCGGCCCAACATACTGTTGAGCCTACTCAGATAAAACCGTGCGTGACGGGTTACTCTTTTGACGTGGGGCCTGAAAGTGAGCCCTGTGTCGAGAGTGACATCTAAATATTTGGCGGACGTATGCCAGGGGACAGGGGTCCCTAGCATACGTATTGGTGGAGTGTTTTTGAGACGGCGTCGTTTATAATCGAAGTGAACGGCGGAGCTCTTCTCCGGGTTCACATCGATGCGCCATTTTTTGAACCAAGCACCTAGGTCATCAACTGACTTTTGGATCTTGTTCCGTATGAAGGGTAGTGAGACACCTTTGCAGTAGATGGCAGTGTCGTCTGCGAAGAGGGAGAGTTGAACACCTTTCGACGGGATGGGAATGTCGTTGGTGAACAGGATGTACAGCAGAGGAGCAAGTACTGAGCCCTGAGGGACACCAGCCTTGATAGTTCGCTGTGAACAAAGCGTGCCTTCGTGTCTAAAACGAAAGGTACGATGTTTTAAATAGGAGGCCACGAGACGAACTAGCCGATCGGGGAGACCTATTTTGTAGAGCTTGTAGATGAGGCCTGTGTGCCAGACACTATCGAAAGCTTTATCTATATCGAAAAAGACCGCGATGGTCTTATGACGACGAGGATAGAAACCGCTGAGGATATATTCCACAATGCGGTGAACTTGTTGGGGACATGAGTGTTTGGCTCGGAAACCGAATTGATGGGGAATGATAAGAGGGTCGCCGTCTGTGGGAAACAGATAGCGCCTCATACGCGTTTGGATGACTCTTTCGAAGAGCTTGCCCATTGCCTTGAGGAGGCTAATAGGGCGATGGCTGGATGGGAGGTTTAGAGGCTTGCCTGGCTTGGGAATTCCAATCACAGTAGCCTCTTTCCACGTAGTGGGGAAATAACTGAGGTTGAAGCAGGCGTTGAAGATAATAGATAAAAAGGTTAACATCTGCTCAGGAAAGTGTTTTAGGGCTCCACGCTCTCACAGAATACCAGCGTAAAATAGTAGCCTAAAGGTCGACTCACGCTACACCGTGTCGGGTCCGAGCCGAATGTCGGCCGTAGCACGGTCAACATACGGTCACCTTATGTGCGGTCCTCTAGACTGTAGACCCTTTTTACCGAAAACGAGGCATTCCATCTTAGTCCTCACGGGTGACAACGCATCTGCATTTTGATTTGTAAGCGAGGATAGATGTAGATGTCTATGGGCCACAGCAACCACTTACCATCAGGTGGACTGTGTGCTCGTTTGTCGCTCTATTCTATAACAAAAAAAGGTTTCACTTGACTGACTGCAGTATGTTTGTGTACACAATCATTGTAAAGAACTATAAAAAATAGCCATCATCATCATCATTACAGCCCTTCACAAGTCCACTGCTGAACATAGGCCTCAAAGCACGGTCCTGAGCCACCTGCATCCATCGACTTCCTGCATATCTTACCAGGTCGTCACTCCATCTAGTGGGGGGTCGCCCTACACTACGCCTACCGGTACGAGGCTGCCACTCGAGAACCTTTCTTCCCCATCGGTTATCGGTTCTTCGAGCTATATGGCCGGCCCATTGCCACTTCAGCTTACTAATCCGTTGGGCTATGTCGGTCACTCTGGTTTTACTGCGGATATCCTCATTTCTGAGTCTATCACGCAGAGAAACTCCGAGCATAGCCCTCTCCATAGCTCGCAGAGCGACCTTGAGCGTCCTCATACGGCCAGCAGTGAAGGACCACGTCTCAGATCCGTAAGTCATCACTGGCAACACGCACCGGTTCTAAAACTTAGTTTTCAGGTTTTGAGGTATACCTGACGAGAAGATGTGTCGTAAGTTCCCGAACGCTGCCAAGCCGAGTTGAATCCGTCGATTGACCTCTCGGTCGAAGTTGGACTTACCTATTCGGACTATTTGTCCCAGGTAAACATACTCGTCGACAACTTCGAGCATAGTGCTCCCAACAACTACCGGCATAGGTGTGACATGGACATTAAACATGATCTTTGTTTTGTCCATGTTCATCTTAAGACCTATCCGTTGGGAGGCACTATTGAGGTCATTGAGCATAGTGCTTAAGTCCTCCAGCGATTCTGCCATAAGGACTATATCGTCGGCAAATCGAAGGTGAGTGATGTACTCGCCATTGATGTTAATACCGTATCCTTTCCAGTCCAGTAGCTTGAAAACGTCTTCCAAAGCAGCGGTGAAGAGTTTCGGGGATATAACGTCACCCTGTCTTACACCTCTCTGCAGTTGGATAGGTTTCGAGCTCTGGTTCTGTACTCGGATAGCCATCGTAGCCCTACTGTACAAACACTTCAGCACTTCGATATACAGTCAACTTGGCACCGCTGAAGGGACTGCAGCACCGCCCAAATTTCGACGGAATCAAAGGCTTTCTCATAGTCCACATACGCCAGGCAAAGTGGCAAATTGTACTCTTCAGTCTTCTGTACAATCTGCCGCAGGTTATGTATGTGGTCTATGGTACTGAAGCCTTTTCGGAAACCGGCTTGTTCGGGAGGCTGGAAGTCGTCGAGTCTGCGTGCGAGACGATTCGTAATGACTCTCGAAAACAGCACGTAGACGCGGCTCAGAAGGGAAATCGGTCTGTAGTTCTTCAAGAGAGCGTTGTCGCCTTTCTTAAAGAACAAGACCACCGCACTTCTGCTCCACGCCTCTGGAGTAGTGCCACCATGGAGGACGGAATTGAAGAGCTTCTGAAGGACTTACAGTACCGGTGTTCCACCCGCTTTCAGAAGCTCCGCTGTAATTCCATCCTCGCCTGGGGCCCTGCCGTTTTTAAGGTGCTGGAGAGCCATTCTAATCTCGCTTAGACTGACGTCCGGGATATCATCGGAATAGTGTCGGATAAGACTTGCTCTTGGATCGTTACTCACACTTGCGTGTGGCTCCAACGATGATGTGTACAGCTGCCCATAGAACCTTTCAATCTCACTCAACATCTCAGGTGTCCCGGAAACGATGCTGCCACATTCAGTCTTCAGCTTTGACAGTTGGCTCTTTCTGGCAGACAGATCTCTGGCAAAGACTTTGGAGCCCTGGTTCCGCTCGATCGCTTCTTTAATACGAGCAGTATTAAAGTTGCGTAAGTCTCGCCGCATGCATTTGGAGATCTGTCTGTTCAGTTGCCTGTATGCTGTCAAATCTGTTAACGATTGCAGCCTCATCTCCCGTCTAACAGCCATGAGATTAAGAGTGTGATCGGAGAGTTTTTGTATTCTTCTGCGGTGGGTCTTGCAGAACTTAGCTCCGACCGCATGGACAGTTTCCACGAGCTTGTCATTCATATCGTCCACTGCATTGCAATCTTGTAGGCACTGAAAGCGGTTGTGTAACTCGAGCTGAAAGTTTTCGGGATTCTGGATTAGAGCACGAGGGGGACGGAGCGTTGACTTCATTAGACGAGACCTCTCCAACTTAACGTTTAGGTTCAGTGTGCCTCTAACCATTCGGTGATCGCTGCCAGTTTTCACCCTTGCGATCAAAAATAGCCATAGTAAATAAAAAAAAATAAAATAAAAAAATTGCGTTGCCATTTTTAAAACACTGCTAATTCTGTTCTACGTCTGCGATATCATCGGAATGGTGTCACAAGAGTATTGCTCTTGGATCGTAGCTTGCGCTTGTATATGGCTCAATCAACACGATCTAGATATAGATGGGTCATACTCAGAAAAAGTGTACATTTAAATTTTGTAACTAAACTGATATGTAACGATACTGAGAATATTCGTAACGAAACTAATCTCATAAGGTATAGTACACATTGAACTAAGTACAAATTATTTTTGAGAGATTGAGCTAATAAAACACTTGTTTGGTTTAATTGGTCCTATTT